CATGGGTATGCATTCGTTATACAAATGGAAACGAGATAAAAATGAATTAAACTGAACAAGACATTAAGAACATCGTTAATGCAAGGCAAACACGGTAAATAGTATTTGATTTGATATAGTTTCCAAATATTCATCCTTCTTATCCATGTATTTCATAGTTGTTCTTTTATACAGATATTACATTTAAATACATTTGAAACTCTTGATCTTGTATATAGAAGTTATAGAGTTAGAGATACTAGATCATACCAGACAAAGTTTTTTATTAATAAATTTTATTTTTGTTTTTCTATTATTTCTTTAATATAATGTGTTCTAACGTTAAATAATCATTTCATAATTTATCTATTTTTTTTTCTTTCAATGTTAAACTGGATCGTCTTGCTCAACGTGAAGATATTTTTCAAGAGTGTAATATTGACTCAAACAGAGTTTTCGGGAAAGGGATCTAATTTTAACTCAGCTTTTTTGATAAATATTCTTAGTACAGTGCCGTTAGATTTGGTCTTGTACCAAAAATCGAAATCAATTCTCTTAAATAATCCCTAGTACCAAAATGGTCAATATTGATGATCCCGGGAATAACCTATGTTCATAACTCGATGTTCAGACATACATATAAAGATTTCATATTGTATGTACAGAAAAGACTTCTATTGTTGGGATTTGTGGTAAATAAATAATCGAATAAAACTAATAGTAAGGACAGAGAAAACTGATAACGTCATTAAATTTGATCTTCCCTTCTTGTAATAACTAAAACATTGAGAGATTGAATACTAACAACTAATATGGACATTATAGATTACGCCGTTTTCAAAAGAGAGAGAGAGAAAACTAAACTGAAAAAAATGAATAGTTTTCATTAGAAATGATATTTTCATGCATAAAGATTTCGAAACAACTTTTTCTTTCTATGTGTTCACCAAAATTAGTCAATATTTTAGTTAATCGTTTATATTGACCATAGTCAAATCCAAATCTATAAACGCTATTTCTTCACTGCTTTGAGGATATCATTATCTCAACTAAACAGAATATGAGTTTCGATGATATATCGCATTAATTGTACTTTCCATATTTAACATTGGACTATTAATAAAAAAGGAGTATCGTCTTTACCTTTAATTGAAGGGAGAAAATTAACGGATTTGTTGAAAACAAAATTTTAATCAACTATCCAGCATATTTTGATCTGGCCGTACTTGATAATCTAAAATTGTTAACTATAAAATTAAATGGGAGAACTATTATTATCTTCTTTCACAGAATTTTCATAATTCTTTTTATAACAAGAATAAAGAGGTGCAATTTATCATTTTGCAATTTATCACTTTTTTTATGACAGTGTAAGCGTATAGTTATGGAATGTTTCAAATGCAAAAAATTTTTTTGATTACGGTCAGTATGAGAAAATAAGTTATTTTTAGTAATATAAATATTATTTAAGCCAACTCGCGAAGATTGGTAGAAATTATCCAAGTCATACACGGTTTTCAACAATTCAGAAATCCTAAGCGTAAAAGAGATATGAGCCGGTTCGCGATAGTTTAGACGAAGCATAACTATTAAATACACATTTTTTCTTTATTCTTAGTATTTCCACAGCAAAGGATTATGTTCCATTCAAATTTGTCTTACTCATTTTGTGTAGCTACTGAAAGTGTGGTATAGTAACAGCCGCTGAACTCTAAAAATAAAAGTGTACCCAAAACTGTTCATTTTAGGAACCGCTTTTCTATTGAACAGTTTTACGAACGATCATTTCTAAAGTGGCCACCAGATGAACAATTTTGAAAAGTGATCCACATTAGATTACTTTTGAAAACAGGTCACTTCCAGACGAAGCGAGCTGAAGTACCAAAAGGGTTCCAGAAAAGGACACTTTTTGAAAGTATTCCTCAATGTAGTAGTTTGAAACCGCTACAGAAAGAAAGCGTGGGAAACAGGAACCGTTCTTTACAGCTGCACATTGTTTTTACAATGTGAGATTGACAATGTAGATAAAGAGAAGACATGTAGTGAACAAGTTTCAGTAAGAATAATTTGAGAAGTCAATACTATCAGAAGTTGTAGAAAGTGTGGTTTTTCGTGCGTTTTGTTAATATTTAATCAGTAATAATCTCTTAAACATGTTTTAGTCAGGTTTCGACTAGTATGGCAACTCAGTTATTTGTACTCATTCATAACTTACTTGCACGCAGTTACAGAAAAAGACACAAATTTACCACAATTTTTTTATATTTTTTGAAAGAAAGTTTGATATAGTTTAGAGTAAGACATTATTGTGTAAACTAGAGAAGAAGGGTATACATAGAAACCTACAAAAGTGGTTTAACGTTTATTTGACAGACTATTTTATAACTACTATTTCGAGGAAGTTAAACATCCATCTCTTTAGAAATAAATTATGGCGACCTTCAAACTAGAGTGACGATGCTATTTCCATGAAAATGTCATATGAACTTTAATTTAGCTTCATTGAATATCACTTCGTTGAAACTTGTATCTGGAAACAAGCACCCGAGTATGATTTAAGCCGATGACATTTCATGACAGATTCACATTAACCAGATGTATAGGCAAATATAATGGAATTTTTCACTTAATAAAAGTGTTGAAACAGATCTTTACCATCTTGACGCTTCAACAGATATAAAACTTCTTTCTCTCTCTCACAATCTACTGTATAAATTGTGTTTATATAAACGTACTCGAATCTGACTTTGAAAAACCATATTATCTACAGTTTCAGACAATTCTGACAGTTAATGGTACGCTTTATAAGGCTGTAAGGTTTTGCGAATATTAGGATGAAGAACTCCTAAATGCTACATTTGATATACACAAATTAGTTTTATTTTACAAAATCTACAATAGCTGCGCGCCATGATATATAAAAAATATGTTGCCAACATAAACATCAATTACAATACATAATAAAAGAAGACCAATCATTCTCTCCTACATTCAAGCATAGTTTTTTTTCCCTTTACCGTTAAATTATAGAATCAATTGTCACCAAATGTAACCAGGAGTAAACCTATTTCTAACTGTTTTTTCACGGTTCTACAAACTTATTTGTATCATCCATTTCGGTTTTTTGTGTAAATAGTAGATAACATGAGGTAGATTTATTATTTTATAAAATTTGAACTACTTTTTGTCAACTTTCATTGTAATCAGTTATTAGAAATAAATTTATGCAATGCGAGCAGGTGGAACACACGAGGATACTACTTGATCTATTATCTTCATTACAATTGTCAATTAAAACTCTTGTATGATAATATTCAGAGTATTCTGCAATGATCGACTGACTATGCTTCAGAGATGGGCAAGTCAAAGTCCGGACTGATAGATTTTTCACACAGACTGGGACTGATAGGCGTAGGAGGCTTGGACTTTTCTTTGTCTAATTTTTTTCACATTTGTGACTGAACTTTTCAGTTTAAATTTGAAAAAAAGATAAAAAAAATAAAGAAATTGAATTCACTCTCTTATCTTTTTCATGTTATCGCGCGGTTGATTAATATTAGCTGTCTTTTGATTTCAGTTTTTTTCCACTGATTGATTCGTTTCTTGGCACTAAATGCTTGTCTGCTATCTGCACTGGACAATAAAACAATAGAAAAAGGAAACAAAATGACCTGTCTTGTTCTTGCTTTTTAACATTCTTTCGACATTCTTTTTTAACATCAAAAATTTTGTTGTTTTCTTTTTTTGTTACTATAACCATGTAAAGAAACCAGGTCTCTGATAAAAAAAAGGAGAAAAAGAATGGAAATAGAAAACAACGTATGCTATGTCCGACATCGGACTTAAAGCTTAGTGGACTGGCACTGAACCATTTTAGCGGCATAGTGGACTGAAACTGATTCAGACTTAGCCTCTAGTGGACTGAGACTGAAAAAATACTGAACTGGCCCATCTCTGCTGTACCTTAGTTGATGTTAAGCAATTCCTGTAACTTTAAACTCACTGTTAAAAGTGCCATCATCTTTATCATATAATTTATATCTTTTTGATGTTACCTTTTGTTCTTGCCATTTTTTTGTTTTTTTTTATCTAATCATATGTTCGATTGAAGAAAACTACACAAAGGATATTTTTGATTTTTATATATTTAACTTGATAACTTTTCTGTACTAAGATGAACATGTTTCATTGTAGAAAAGTTATACACATTCCAGATTCACTTATTATAAATAAAGGTTTATTAGAGAATTGAAATATTTCTCTTTTTTTACGTCTGAAATTGGTTTAAATTTCGAAACATTCCCACAAATATTTTTAGAACATGCCAAATTTTTTATCCAACATAATATAACATAATTTCATGAAAAATTTCTCTTTTTTATCTCAAAGATAATACAACAATGAAAGAAAAAAAGAGAATACATAAAAAGCATTTTTTCTTCTTTTTACTGTAATCCTTTACCACAAGAAGTCCATTAAAAAGTTCAAGGGTGAGTTGTACTGGGATAAAAATTTATCCTGTCAATGATATGAATGAGTAATCTTAATATTTTCATAATCAGATATGTGACACCTTCATGTTTTATTAACGATAAACTGTTTCATTAGAGGACATGTATAAAAAAATTGTCTTAAAAATTCGTATATAGTCTGTAAATACTGTTAATGGAAAGTTCCTGTTTTATAATTGCGTTCAATTCACTTCCTGTTCTATCTGTTTTTTTATTAATGTATTGAATTGGTAGAATAAGGGTTTCTAAATCTTTATTTTTATCGAGCTTTTCAAAAAAATTATGATTAACAAGTATTTGAATGCTGTTTCCTCAAGGAAATAGAAGTGTGTTTGCTAAAACAGAAAAAAATTTGCTCAATGGAACTTCAGAATGTTTAGATAATTGAATGAGGAGTGTAGAATAGGTAATGATTATCAACGATTTTATATTAGAACTAACTAGATTTCCAAAGATAATGTTGCCGCTTTGTCAGATTTTTAGTAGAAATATACTCACTACCACTAAAAAATGAAAAGTAAAACAACATCATCAACGGCTTCAACAGAAAAAACGAAGAAACTTAAAAAAGAATTAGAAAATGATGATGAGTATGATTATATTGCAATTCCTCCTGATGGTGGATATGGTTGGGTGGTGTTAATTGCTTGTTTTATAATCAACATGATTGTCGATGGATTTTTATATGCGTTTGGAGCTATTTCAAAAGATTTACAAGTTCACTTTCGTGCTCACGAATGGGAAGTATCGCTTGTTATATCATTGGCCTGTGGATGCTATCTATTAAGCGGTTAGTATCATCATTTTCTACCTGATATTTCTTAAGCTAAATGTATAATTTCTCTTTCAGCTCCGTTGGCATCAGCATTATGCAATAAATATGGTTGCCGTCCAATTGGTATCATAGGAAGTTTTATTGCAGCCGGTGCAGTGGGTGCATCTGTCTTTTCTCCAAATATTAGAGTCATGTGGGCTCTATTTGGGTTTATCGGAGGTCAGTAGGAAGAGAGAGAATTTATATTTAGTTAAGTTCTATCTCACTGTATGAAAATGATCGCTTCTAATTTAATAGGAATTGGTATGGGACTGATTTATTTACCATCTATTGTTATGGTGGGTCATTATTTTGAAAAAAAACGAGCCATTGCTACGGGTAAATTGAATGTTTTATGTGCTGAATGATAAATAAGTTCATTTGATGTTTTTAGGTATAACTGTGTCGGGTACAGGGATTGGGAGTATTACATTTGGACCATTATCACGGTTTTTATTTGATAGACTTGGCTGGCAAAGCGGTTTATTGATTTTATCTGGTATATTACTCTGTTGTGCTGTTTGCTGCGCGTTTATGAGACCGCTCGAACCTGTACGAAGACGAAGAATACTAACTGCTGTGTAAGTTTACGATGTTGACCAAAAAATTATCGTCATCAATATTTAGCCATATATTTATCCGAATTTGAAGTACGTTGAATCTTTTTCAGATCGAATGAGAAAGAGATGGATGGTGCTGAAGTATTTGGATTTCAAGTAAGTTCTCTCAAACTTTTAACCATCATTCCAATCTCATTGGCCACTATTTGTTTGTAGCCCACGTCTCCGTTGTTGCACGACAATGAGAAAACAAATTCAAATGCCAGTTTAGATAAAAGTGGTAAAAGAGCCCGAAAAGATTCATCAGTATCTGTGAGATCACGACAATCAATCAAAGCCGACGATGCTGCGAGAGCGTAAGTTTTTTTTTCAAACCATAGTGCTTACAGGCTTAGGTAATGTCTGTCTTCCGAGATCAAGCCGCTAGTGATTTTTATCATATTTTTAGACAATATTCTCATGATTTTTATTTTATTCTTAATTTTTCTAGATTATACAAAGAAGATGTTTTATATCAAGCTGACATTCAAGCGTTGCCTGAGTATCAATCACAACCTGATATTCCGACTTATGTTCAAAACACGACAGTTGTCCCAGATGAACCCCCCAATCGTAAACCATCGCCAATGAAAGCATTCTGGGATGTTTTTTTAAAAATGACGAATGTGCATGTATTAAAAGATTCGAAAATGTTAATTATTTGTTTGGCGAATGTTTGTTCAATGATCGGGTACTATACACCATATTTATTCACAACAAAACTAGCGATTCAGCTTGGAGTTTCAGAGTATCGAGCTGTTTTACTTATTTCAATCATAGGTAAGATGTTTTTGCGCCCCTTATATACGTACGCTAAGTCAAAGGGAAAGCTTATGTCAACGTCAGTTATTTAATGTGAAGTTTATACGTCCAGAACATGGTTTTTTTATGTGCTTAGGATTTTTCAATACCGGAAGTCGTTTTGTATCTGGTTGGATAACCAAACTACCTAAAATGTCCCCGCTGATGGTGAATAACATTGGTTTAGTTATCGCTGGAATTGCGACTCTACTTGTACCATTATGCACTACTTATCCATTGTTAGTTATTTATTGTGCCGTATGGGGAACGTTTATCGGTAAGTACTCATGTATTGCGTAACTACATGCTTTGTGCACACATTTCTTATAATTCTAGCATTTCATGTTTCTCTCTCACCCGTAATTGTGTGTCAACTAGTTGGTCTTGAACTTTATTCAAGCGCATTGGGCTTAACACTCATGTTTCGTGGTATAACGTCGTTAACCGCTCCACCTGTTATGGGTGCCATTCGAGACCAGACCAACTCGTTTAACATCGCTTTTATAATCGGAGGATTGGCGTTTATTTTAAGTGCTATAATGCATTTTTCACTGTACTTTATTGATAAAAGACGGAAAGACGAACCACAACAGCAGAATAAACCTGTCAATGTATAGAAAATTCATGTAGTTAGTATCTCTCACCTAGTCATTTAGAAATGGTGCTTGCTTATATTTTCTTTCGTGCGTGATTCTAAGTTTTGTAATTTTATTTACTTATAATGCATGTGAGTTTGTGTAGAATAGTTATTATCACCACAAATAGAACAGTAGCAGCCGATCTTTTAGACTAAACATCTATTCATGTAATCATCTATTTCAGTATGCATCTATTTTTTTTTCTATTGTTTCTGTTTTGTTGCTATTTACCATTTTAGCAAATAGTACAAATTTTATATCTGTGTACAATTACCGTCTTGCTCCCGTGTGATAAAAAATAATGAGTTTGTTGTACTATATTTTTCTGAATACCTATATAAGTGAAGTTGTCTGTCCTATTTTTAAATATATATATATATATATATAAGTTACCTGTTTAAAAGAATCATAATAATCAAGTCTACAAGTGTATTCCTTAAAATAAATAGCAATGGTAATTACTATTCTGAAGATATACATTTTGTATTAAATCTCATATCTCGCTCCAAATAACAATTTTGAACGTGTTTGTAACGTGTGATTGAGAGTCTTACAAAAAATGAATAAGTATCAGATTCGTAAAACAACATAAAGAATTACACTCATAACCTGCTATAGTATTAAAGGAAAAAGTGAGTGAACGTTTAAAAAGTATCTCTAATAAGAAAGCTTTTTAAAAGTTTTGAAAGTGATAATATTTCTACATTCATTTGCCTGTTCCTACACAGGTTTGACTGCTATGAACTACTTTTTCACATAGTAGTGCAACTCAACTAACCTCTGAAGTTTCATTTGCAAGAATAAATGAACAGTAGAAATCATGACCTTCTCTACAAACTTCAGAAAATTTTAACGAGTTCTGAAGTTATTGAAACAGGTTGAAACTATCTGCTTGTCGTCTCTATTATGAGCAACGATTTGTCTACTATTCTTAATCCATTGTATCGTTGTATTTCTCAAAGTAAATGTTAAATTGCCTTGAGAAAATTTAAAAGATGGGGTAATTACGGCCACTTGCACAAAGTTTTTTAGTATTTTGCGTATTTCTAAGCCGTTTTTAATTGGATAAGCGTGCTATTGAATATTAAGATAGAACTAACAGTTCTGTATCCGCTGGCGTAAAAATCTCCTAAACATCTCTCTCCGTTTTCGAGCGGTATTCAAAAGGAGACAGAGGCCGCCACACTGGCCGAATTTCACCATATAAGGTAATTCTGCCAAAGTCCACTTTAGAATTCTACCAAACTCAGTAGGCATTTTTCTAGAAGTTCTAAAATCGAGTATCTCATAGAGTGTTTAATACAGCGTTTTCTCTATATAAGAGTTACACCTGAAGTGCGTCCAAGATTTTTAATAGCGGTTTGTCGTAGAGAGTTCATTCTTTTTTTGTTTAAAAAGGAACTACATGGACTGAGCGGCGTCGATTTTTGAATTAGGTCTTAGTTTTTTGCCAAACTGAGGACTTTTAGAAAATCAGGAAGGCTTTCTCGCGTTTTGGAGGTTGTTGGTTGCCTGGAAAACCAATAAAGGCTCAACTGAAAAATCACCGCCTGTCAGTCCATGTAGTTAGGTGTCTAGTTTAAAATAAAACAAACCCGAACTCTCCAGTATATAGAGTATATTAAAAAATCTTGGGACGCACTTCAGGGTCCTTTTTGGACCTTGATCTCTGGAAAACTTCTAAACCGTAAGGCTTGGAGACAAAAAAATGTTTTCGTTCCCGTAACTCATTGTGCCTAACATTTATTGAAAGTTTCGTCAAGATTGAATGTACGGTGTCAGAGATAATTTCTGCCTGGGGGCCCTTAAGCAACTTAAAGAAGGCGCAGCACGAAAAATCATTAAAGATCAAGAAGTTGACATGCCCGATATTGACATCATCAGTCGCAATCAAAAAATAGACATCGTCGAATTCACTGCCTATCTGGATGTTTTGTTTCTAAGGATCATTCTTCCGAAAAGGAAATAGAAACGAGGATAACGAAGGCCTCAGTAGCTTTCAACATGCTTCGAAATGTGATTTAGTATCGAAAAACTGTACCGATTGGAGCAAAATTACGCATCGCCCGGTCATGTATTATACCAGTTTTATTGTATGACAGCGAGGTTTGATCTATAACGTTGACCCATGAAAAACGATTAAACACATTGTATATGGCTTGTCTCTTTGTTGCTTGGAGATGATACACTAGGTTATGATACACTGATATGCCTTAATATTAGCGCGCTTCGACGAACGAATGGGAAAACAATCGGACGAACATATTGCATTTCTTTAATGCACCAAAAACTCTTATACCTTTTTTTTGTTATCGTATCTTTTTGATCTTCACCCTACACCGAAAAGTAAGGGTCTTTTAACTAACTAATTGATTGTATTTTTACTGTGTCTGTGTTCATCATTTTCTGTCTTTTACCTTTTGTACCTGTGTGTTTTCTTTTTCTTTATTGATATTGCGCTAGACAGAGCAGGATTCAATAGGGCTACATTATACTCCTTTTGACTAGCTACTTTTTTTCATGTCCTTCCATTTTTGGCAAATAAAGTTCAAAGTTCAGGTTCAAACATCAACCACCGACTTATTTGGAGAGCCGAAAAAGAAGAAAAATATTATTTCCGTTACTGGTATAAGGTGCTACCGTGGCTACCGTTACAGGTGTAGGGTGCTGTCGTAGCAGTTTCGATAGCCTGACATCTTCCCTGCAGTTGACAAGCTTCTAATGGTCATCCATCTCGTTACTAGTGAACAATTGCAGCTCTGGCCAGAAGGCTAGCCTGACACAGAGTTCTTTCGCTCAATTACTTGAGCTCCCCTTGAACATGAAAGTGAAAGAGCCAACGATAAAAAACTATCTAAAGAATACATGTCGAATGAGAGTAAACATAGAACTTTTTTATGTTTGACGGGACTAGATCGATCAAAACACAAAATAAATACAAATACAAATGTGTATGTCGCAGAAGAAATTAAAATTCAGGAAAATTCAGATTTAATTTTCTCCTAGACAAAATTCTCCTTTGAAAAATTTTAATGTTTGGTTTAAACTATTTATTATGATAAAAAAAAAAAAGAAGAAAAAGACATATGATGATATCAAAAAACTTAGACGACTAAATGCAATGTCTTTCAGCGATTCGAAGTTAAATGATTCCCGGAAATGATTTCCCGGTAAAGAAAAAATCAAATGAAGTTAAACGTATGCAAGGAAAAAGATGAAGAACGAGAGACGAAGAGAAAAGGCTAAACTAAACATGTAAATAGTAGTAGTATAAAAGTGAGACGTACCTGAACAGATACATTCTATAATATGTGGTAGATATATGTTACGTATCAGAGCGTTTTAATGTTTTTATGAATTCAATAACAGTTAAATAAATAGATTTGAACTGCTCGCGCTCCAGATTAGTTTTTAAAAGAAAGAAATTTATGGTTATTTTTTGTTTACCTGGCATCAAGTCAGAGATTTTCTTGAATTATTTCGACAGTTTGTATATGGATGGTAGACAAAAAAAGAAATGATCAATCGAGCCACATTCACATTGATTTCTACAAGAGAGATTTTTAAGAAAAAAGATGAAAATTTCGATCAGAAAAATCACAGCGTAACTGATAATTTATTTCATCGTATTTTCTTTCAATGTTATACATTCTGTAGTCCAGGTAATATAAACTAACCTGGTTGATTTTTTCAATTCTTTTTTCTGAAGTTGCGAATGACTTTCAAACCTTTCTACCAAGTAATTGATGGAAGTATGACACATGATACATCTATCTAGCGGCTTGTCCAAGCGTGACGCTGTGACAATTTTGACACAGTAATTTGAGCTTTCCTCAAAAAGTGTATAAGCTAGAACCGTCGTCCTTGCGCCGTTCGACGCAGCTCGCCATACTCTACTTTTGGT